TAGTCGAACCGGTTGTAGTTACATCACTCCCCGGGAAATTTGCCCACTCGATTGTGAATGACACTTTCGATGTCCGGAATGCACACGGGACGCACATAAAAATGTGTGTTGGGAAGGTGTGATAAAACAGACACGCATTTGGTAAATTGCTTCGTGTAAATGAGGCGTGAGCTAAAACAACCAGGAAGCCATGGATTGTTTTCTCGACTCGGTAGGGTCTCATCCGTGCGATGCACGAATCCATTGACCCAATTGGGAATCAAACCAATTCTTCACCCCTATCATGATCGAGTTGGAATATTACCAACCGAGTCGTAACCTCGGAGGCTAGTGCTAAGATGTGTTCATTATTCTCAAAAGAATGGGTATAAGGAACATGAAAACGGTCTGATCAGTTGTCCCGGGGTGGCCGAGTGGGTAGTATGCTTGCGTTCTATCCGTGGGGTCCCGGGTTCGATCCCCAGTTAAGTCGATGAATTCGCATTGCTGGTCGAAACAGCTGTACAGCCGTGCTTCTTAGCTTTTCAGTTCACTTGTTCTTCAGACGGTCAAACCAAATCATTCACTTCTACTACTATTCTGTAAGCACGTATGTGTCAGTCCATGAACAAGCCGAGTGAAATGAATACGCAACATCTGTCGTTTTTTTCAAAGTCGATTAGTGTTAATGCGATTCTGATAGGTATTCTTGTGAACTATTGCAACCTTGGTCCTACGGCTTGCCGTCCATTTGGCTGCGCTACACTCGCATGATCTTCATGGAAGTATGCAGGACGGAAGATCCCACATCTGAATCTAATCGAAACACACTGGCAGGAGATTAACTCTAGACAGCGCACTCTGAGCTCTTGCATCACTAACGTCGTCCCTGGTCACTCACTGACGCTCTCAAAACACAGGTTAGACACACATTCCCCACAGTTGGGTCTCCGTGGTGAAGCAGATTTCCAAGCAACCTGCACGACAGGGAAAATATAAAAAGCAACCATGAACCAAAGAGCATGCAGTGAGACAGATGC